TGAAGCCTCACAAATTGGCCTGAAGGGAACCGACACCTCATATTCAAACAGTGTATCTCAAAGCCTAGATACTCTCGAAAGGGCAAAGCGGTTTCACAGCACTGCTTCGATGGATGACGAATGTAGCCACAACGTCAGGTGCTTGCACCACAAGTGACACACAAATACATCTTCCCAATTAATAGTTGCCGCGGATAACAGCATCATGACCATCTTAAACGCTTTGAACGCATAAGAGGTAGTATACACACTGGGAAAAAAGGAAGTAGTCACAGGTGAACCACAGTAGTAATACAACACCAGACTTTGTGAAAGAGTAGTTTTAGCGAAGAAAAAGGATGTTTCAATCAGTATTGTCACCGGCGTCAGTAGAAGGTAGACTGTGAAGAGTCTAGCCGATGCCGTCGTGAGGTGGTAGGATGTGGGAGAGGTAGAAGGCGATATCATCCATATTCAAATCAACGTTGGTGTCTTGAGAGCCGCCGGGAGTATTAGAAGCAGTAGCAGTGGTAGAGACATCACGAAATCGAATGCTGCTGCGTCTATTTGCTCCAGCGGGAACTAGGCCCGCCACCGTAGTGACAAAAGCGTGGTGTTGAAGAACCTCCAGCGATGGTCGCTCAACGCTCTCTGTGCGGAGGCAGGAAGCCACAAGGTCTATGAAGTCGTCACTGAAGCAGGTCCGTGGCAGGCGAGGCAATGGCTGCTCCACAATAAGTACCAACAGTTCGAAGATAGACAATGGTAACTGTTCTGAGGTTGTCACGGCTTAAAAAAAAGGGTTGCTTTGCGAATGTGCAGTTAACATGGAAAATTTGGGGAAGACAAAATTTGTCGCAAATTGAAAACTCCTATGAAGGGAAATGAAGTAGCCAATCAACAGCCCCAATTTCGGACTTACGAGAGCACACTAGATCATCCCCGACCAATGAAGAGGCAAATAAACAGGACGACATGGACGAAAGAATACAAAGCAGAAGATCAAAAGAGCACCTTAAGGGTGATTATAAGAAACCCTTTGAATGGTTCATGAGTACAGAATACAACAGATTAAACCAATAACAACGGGACTCATGTAACTAAATGTGGACCATTTACAAATGACGAAAAGAAGAGCATACAACTAGCTCTCAAGCAAAGTTGAAGGTCATAAACACAGCTTGTTTTGGATGGGGAAAAGTTCATCATTACATCCTATCGTAGAAATAAACCCCTCACCTTGCCAATCTGCATTAGGTTAAAACATTGCTATGGCAAGAGGAGACCCGAAATTATGGATGGTAAGAATATTTAGTGGTACATTTTTCATCGTCAGAAGAACTGATCAATGTTATAGAGAGGAGGTCAACGTAATCAGGTTAGTCTGCCAAACGAGAGCCTGGAGACACAAAAAAGTGTACAATAAAAGGCAAAAAACAAGCACCGACGTTGTGTAACGGGAGTGATTAAAGCGTCAACAGGAATATCATCTCAAGTCAATCGACAAAAGCCTATTTTTGTGATCACGGTATACAATCCGTAGAGCGAAATACAAATAAAAGGAGATATTTGAAAGGCCATAAGCACGACAGCAATAGCGTGTTGAAGTAATTCGTTCGGAGAGATAAAGGTACTTGATGGCTGCTTGTCGTCGTTTGAATAGCTTCGATACCAGAAGCCTACTAGTAAGGATGTGGAAAAATACCAGATAGATAATTGCATAAGAGTTAAAACGACTAGATAATATTTTAAAATACACTAGACAGCTGTGAACTCAGATCTTGATGAACTCTAACAACAATGAGATGAATAAGTGTTACCCAAAGCAAATGAACCTGTTTCCCCATCTGTAGTGAAGGAAAATACGTATGATCTGAGGTTTCCCAGTTACCCAATATTCCATTGCATTGATCCACCTCTCCAGCTACTTTATGGCACAAGCATACCCAAAATCATCCGAAAAAAAATATTGTAAGGCATAAAATAACTGCCAGACGAAGTGCTCTGGTACAGTCATGATACTTTACTGACCTTTCCTCTTAAAGGTTCACGGTAAGAAGAAAGAGTAATAAGGAATGGCAAACATTAAAGAATTGTTGTCGTGACAGTGGAACAATAACATATCGAACAAGTTAAAGATGGAAAAGTCAGTTACATTTGAACCGACTTGCAAAAAATTCATTTAGAGGTACTTAAGCAGATCATGAGACTAACACTCCACACAGAGTGCGAGATGATAGATTTTGATTACTGAACTGCGTTGAAGGAAGGAATGACACCCACGGTAGGAAACAAGTGTTTGAAAGCAAGCTCTAGATTCAAGTGCACAGCCACGAAACATCTACAAAGAAAAACTAAGAACGAAACTAACTATAACTATAATTAAAAAAAATTGCAATAGCTTCCAGTTCAACGGCGAACAAAGTCCACCAAATCCAGTTGTGCAATGTGGCAATGTACAAGAGAGCCCAAATGATTGGAGCTCCTACGAGAAACGCCAGACAATACGCACATAGAGTTCGTATGGTTCCACAAAACCATTATATATAATAATGCAAATGGGAGACGAAACCATTAACTAAGGGGCAACAAATTCTTGCTATAGGCCAAAAGTGAATCCCTATCTTGCCCTCTAATCTGAGAGTATTGCAAGCAAGTTACAATGGAGGTAAAAACCACTGTTTAGTAAGGAGTTATTTTGAACAAATAAAGCTAGACATGAAGTGTGATCGTAAACTCACGCGGCAGCTTTCGACCCTCTCGAGCAGCATCAATATGCTCCTTAAGGTTAGTTTGTCGATCATTAGAAAATCCGGTGTAGTATTGTGTTTCGTTTTCGATCGCGGGAATGGGATAACGACCGGTGGCTAATTCTATAAGGGTTAATCCAAGGCTCCACACATCTGAGGATGTGCTGTAGGACTGACCGGAAATGCGCTCCGGCGCCATGTAAGATCGCGAGCCCACAAAAGAGTGCGCCACCGAGTCAATCAATTTGCCACTCGCCCCAAAATCGCACAGCTTGATCTCACCATTACGACGCATCAGAATATTCGATGGCTTCACGTCTCTGAAAGCCAAAAGAAGGGAGTAACCGAGAGATTTCGAACATTCTTGCTCTAATTAAGTCGCTACCAGTGCCGTATGTATTGAGTGCCATTCATTCTTCCACTAAAAAACAGTTACCTCGATCGATTATGTCTAGAAGTGACTAGGAAGGTAAAAGCTAAGTGATATGCTACCCGCCTGTGAATCATACTGAGTTGTTTACGCAGATATTCAAGGCCACAAAGAACGGCATATAGGATACGAGACACAATTGGCTCGGGCATTCGGCCGGCGTGCTTCAGCACCATGTCCAAACTCCCTCCGTCCATATACTCCATGCATATATTAATGTTCCCATCGGCCAAGAATGCACCATAAAAACCAATAATGTAGGGCGATGCACAATCGTGGAGAATCTAAGGGTGAAAAAATATAGACGTAAAAGTAGTTTAAAGCGCTCGTGTAAAAAGGCATCGGTAACTCAAGGCTAGGGACAAAACTGTTTTGTTAAGAGTTTGGTTTTTAAAACCGAAAATGCAGTAAGCGAAACCAGTGATAACCTCGAAAGCGTTTTGAGATTGTATGTACAGTAGGCCATCTCCAAGATCTGGTAAAATCCATTGATTCTAGCCAAAATGAGCCTTCAATTTCGTGAAAAATTAGGGAGGAATACGGGTTGGAACAGCCTCTGTTGTTCTCAAGGGCGAAGTAAACAATAAACAGAAGGTCGATAGGGGTTATCAAGTCTCTTTAAACTGCTCTTGGAAATGGTGACAGTTAATTTGGTGGCGGATTTTGGAATATTATCCTCCTTTTATTGATGACCAGCGATGAAATCGATTCGCCGGTGCTTCTGCCAAAATGGCTGATACTATGAGAATATGCAAAAGAACACAAAGTAGGCCGAGTCGCGCGATGATGGATAGTGAAGCCAGAAGACGTGTTATTCCTTCGTAGCACAGAAGGCTTGAACAATATTCGCAACATCACCCGTTTGGACCGGTACACCTAATTTATTGCCGCTCTACTCCCGAATTAAGGTTTGGTAAGCAATATATTCTGCCAAACACCAGAAACTTTAGGTGACAGTTTGATCATTCCTGCGTCAACCTTGCACGAAGGGCACAGACTTCACTCTCCCTCCCGCCATTCTTATTGGCATGCTTGAATACCTACTCATGCATGACCATTGCGAAAGAATAATTAAATGATGCTTTTATCACATCCGTGTGTTTGATTTAATTTAGTTTCGAAGGTTAACCTGCAATAATCTAAGATATGAGATCGAGAATGCAATGATGGTAACCAAGCTACTCCTACTACTCTGCGATTGCCTTGTAAGCTTCGCAATGCTCTTATTATCTTTCCATTATTAGACTTCCGTCCTGAGAAAGCAACAACAAATTTAATTAAGAAAGTGGATACCCCAAAATGAAAACTCGTGGTATCAGAGAACAGTGGCGACCTACCTCAAGT